CTTCCATCATCCACCTCTCTCTGCCAATCCCTCCACTGGCTTCCATCCCCCACCCCTTTCTGCCAATCCCTCCACTGGCTTCTAATAGCCCAAAGGATACAATTCAAAATATTAACAACGACTTACAAAGCCTTCCGCAATTCTGCCCCCGGCTATATCTCAAAGTATCACCCTAACCGTCCCCCTCCACTCTTCAAAAGACCTTCTGCTTTCCAGCATCCTCGTCAACTCCTCCCATGCTCACCTCCGGGACTTCTCTAGAGTCTCTCCCATCCTATGGAACTCTCTACCTAAACCTGTCCGACTATCTCCCACTCTGACTGCCTTTAGGCGTTCCCTTAAGACTCATCTCTTCAGGGAAGCCGATCCCACCTCAACCTGACCGCTCAACCATCACTTTCTCATACAATTCATCCCCACACAGCTACCTCCTCATGTATCATTGGCCCCTCCCTTTTAAATTGGAAGCCCTCAGGGGCAGGGCCCTCCTTAACATCTTGTCTTGAATTGTATTGTGATTGTAATGTCTTCCTTATATTGTAAAGCGCTGCGCAAACTGTTGGCGCTATATAAATCCTGTATAATAATATCAAGGAGAAGGTAGTGGGATGAAGGTGGGCGGGGACACACAAAACTTTAGGGTGGGCGGGAACAGAGAAGGGAACTGCAGCAGAGGAAACACAAAATTAGAGCCTACAGGAACAGAAGAATACTATGTGGCCATTGTGTTTTCCATGGGCTCCAGCTTTTGGGTCTTCTTCAGACCTCTGTGTTACTGTAACACACGAAAATCTGTATGTTGCGGTGACATTATCGGAAAATGGCATCCCAAGCACACCGTACAGTAGGTGCCCAATGGACCTGAACGGCACCACAATGCACTTATTGCGTGCTGTGTTACAATGAAGGGCAATCAAGAAAGGTTTCGAAATTTCTTCCATTGCCGTACATTGGGTGAATGGGTTCCTTTAACGTAACACACTGCAATGGAACGCAACATGATGAGGGCGGCCTAAAACTATTATCAGCTTTGAGACGCCCTTTACTTTTTATCCTGGCCCCATAAGCAAAGACATAACTGGCTTCATGTTACTGGGATTTGCAGATTTGATTTCCTTTTTCTACCAATGCCTATGCTAATGCTTCATAGTGAATGCAGTGTGTGGGTACAGACGTGTAGCTTGTGTGAGATACTGTGCTACTTAGATATTAACTGCTCTTCATTCTTATAGGAAGAGTACTTTATATTAAATCTGAACTCCGGGCCTTTCCTTCAGTCTTATATCTGACCTCTGTTCCTCCCTTCAGTCTTGTATCTGACCTCCGTCCTTCCCTTCAGTCTTATATCTGACCTCCATCCTTCCCTTCAGTCTTATATCTGACCTCCGTCCTTCCCTTCAGTCTTCTATCTGACCTCTGTCCTTCCCTTCAGTCTTATATCTGACCTCCGTCCTACCCTTCAGTCTTCTATCTGACCTCCATCCTTCCCTTCAGTCTTATATGGGACCTCCGTCCTTCCCTACAGTCTTCTATCTGACCTCCGCCCTCCCCTTCAGTCTTCTATCTGACCTCCGTCCTTCCCTTCAGTCTTTTATTTGATCTCCGTCCTCCCCTTCAGTCTTCTATCTGACCTCCTTTGTTTCCTTCAGTCTTCTATCTGACCTCCGTCCTTCCCTTCAGTCTTCTATCTGACCTCCGTCCTTCCCTTCAGTCTTCTATCTGACCTCCGTCCTTCCCTTCAGTCTTGTATGTGACATCCGTCCTTCCCTTCAGGATGATATCTGACCGCCGTCCTTCCCTTCAGTCTTCTATCTGACCTCTGTCCTTCCCTTCAGTCTTATATCTGACCTCCGTCCTACCCTTCAGTCTTCTATCTGACCTCCATCCTTCCCTTCAGTCTTATATGGGACCTCCGTCCTTCCCTACAGTCTTCTATCTGACCTCCGCCCTCCCCTTCAGTCTTCTATCTGACCTCCGTCCTTCCCTTCAGTCTTTTATTTGATCTCCGTCCTCCCCTTCAGTCTTCTATCTGACCTCCTTTGTTTCCTTCAGTCTTCTATCTGACCTCCGTCCTTCCCTTCAGTCTTCTATCTGACCTCCGTCCTTCCCTTCAGTCTTCTATCTGACCTCCGTCCTTTCCTTCAGTCTTCTATCTGACCTCCATCCTTCCCTTCAGTCTTCTATCTGACCTCCGTCCTCCCCTTCAGTCTTCTATCTGACCTCCATCCTCCCCTTCAGTCTTCTATCTGAATGAATAAATATATAAATAGAAAACTGGCAGCCTCTGTGGATAGTTGGCACACAGAGGTGCATGCTGGGGGGTTTAAGCTTCCTTTCTGCACTTCTATTGGTCAGTATGTCACCGACATTGGAGGATCTTCTTCATTGTCAGCGATAGTGAAGAAAGTCCACAAAATTGACACAATTTACATCCTTCCCTGAGCTCGGTAAACAGGACGCCGGGAGAGTTATTTGGCTTATTGAAGTTTCTTTTGCACTGGATGGTCTGATTGAAAACACAATCACGTGACATGACCAATCTCAGCGCAACCTCTCAAATGAAGACGCTTTCAAACAACATCCTGCCCGTTATCTCTCCGTCCAGGCGTTTCTCTGTGACAAACAGATATTTTCATCCATCTGAAAGAATCGGACTTCCTGTTTGGCCGCTACAAGTGACAGGATACGTCCTGAAAGACTACAAGTGTCTGCGTGTTGGAGAAATGGTGGAAAAAGAAGAGTTTCACGGCAAAAACAGATCCGAAGATTCCCGGATGTTGGTAATCCAGAAGACAATGCAGTGCAATCTGCATGGTGTTTGTATAGTCTCCTTGTGTCTGCTTGGGTTACTCCCAAAACATACTGCTGGGTTAATCAGCTTCTACCCAAAAATCAGCACTATACAGTATGTGTCTGTGAAACTATAGCAAGGAGATTGTAAGATCCCTTAGCTTACCAGTGCACTATAGAGTTACCGTCAGCCACTAGACTACTCCGCTCAGTCCCTGTAGACTAATGTGTTGGACTTTGAGAGTTGGGTTCGGGTTGACTATGAGTTTGACCTGAACCTAAGATGTTCCCAGGTGAATGATTTGGCCAGTTTGCCCACCTGCTACTATCCCACCACTATCTGTGTACTAGAAACCAATATTGCTGTGCTGCTGGTTGCTGAGTCGCACAGCGTCATTGGTTGCTAGGACACAGGCGGCTACACCATAACAACTTATGATAATGTAGGGCCATCGTCCTCTTACCATCCAATGACGCTGTGTGACCCAGCCACTAGCTGGGGGTGCACATAATATTCAGTTAATGTAATGCTACAGAAAACTGACTGCAGATATGAAACAGGAGATGGACAGAGGCTGCGGGCATGCTACAAGAGATGGGCAGAGATGGCCAACATGCTATAAGAAATGTTGGAGATTGGGAACATGCTACAGGAGATGGTCAAAAACTGGGGAGATGCTAGTGCAGATGGTCAAAGACTGGGACCATGGTACTGGAGATGGTCAAAGACTGGCAAAATGTTACAGCAGATGGTCAAAGACAGAGGATGTGCTACAGGAGATGATCAAAGACTTGGCTCATGCTACAAGAGATGGTCAAAGACTGGGGGCATGAAACAGGAGATAATCAAAGACTGGGGACATACAGCAGGAGATGGCCAAAGACTAGGGACATGCTACTGGAGATGGTCAAAAACTGGGCACATGCTAGAGGGGATGGTCAAAGACTGTGGACACACTACAGGAGATGGCAAAATACTGGGCACATGCTACAGGAGGTGTTCAAAAGCTTGGGACATACTACAGGGGATGGTCAAAGACTGGGGAAATGCTATAGGAGTTGGTCAAAGATTGAGGGCAAGCTACAGGAGATGGTCATAGAGTGGACACATTCTACAAGAGATGGTCAAAGCCTAGGGACATGCTACAGAAGATGGTCAACAACTGGGGACATACAGTACTACAGTGTACAGCCACATTAAAAATTACTTGTGCCACATTTGATATTTTTCCAAGAAAGATTCATTATTGAAGATCAAAGAAAACATAAAAAGAGAAAAGAGATGGACACCACTGAAAAAAAGTAAGTAGAACCCAGTCCACTTCCTTCACTGGCATGACTAAGCCCCAAAACACAGACTACCCTGAGGGCAGCACAGTATCTGGGCACCATGGCTTTATACAGTATACACACAGAATAGACATATCTTACCATAGTGTAGCTGTGTGCCACCCTCAGGAGCTCCAAACATCCCTGTGCATCCCCGAACGATCGTATCCCCAGACAATTGGACGGATGGAGCTGCTTCATTAGAAAGTTGCAGCAGACTTCTATGACTTGGGAAAGCTGCAGCAGACAAGCGGCCGCCAACAAACTCTCTATAGTGTCCTCCTTGAGTTCTAAAATACCTGCAGAAGGAGACACAATAAGAATCATTTGTATCATTTGTAGATTTGTTACACATGAGGCCGGATCGCCGGGTTGTAGAACGTTATGAAACAATGTACAAATTGAGCTCATTTTTCTTTTACAGTCATGCAATCAGACGTTCTTTTGAAAGGCAATTATTCCCAAATTTTTATAAATGGCATCTCATTTCTCTTCTGCTCTGTTGAAGTCACAATCACCATCAACTATCAACCTCTACAGGACTGAATACCACAAAACCAGATTATATTTGGCCTGTGAATGTAAAATCAGCCGAGTAGACGACAAAGCCAAGGCCATTAGGTTTCTCCTCCAGCCAGCCTGTGAAAAGAGAAGCCGCGTTGTCAGTCTGGGGTCTGATTAGCGATTCATTGAACGGCGTTTCATAGTCCGGAATCCGCGGAGAGTCGGTTTCCTGTGAATAGCTCCATCATTGTATACATTCACAGATGTCATTTCTATACAGAGGAAGCAACTCAATGAGAGCTCCCGCCATTGCTGGCATTGCGTAGACCACCACGGGCCGATCGCTATACATTGATAAATGATCCGAGACCATCCCCCGATGTGTCACATGTTTCAAAATTATATTCCTTCATTTCTTTGTAGCAGATCAGCTGACTGTTATTCCCCAATCTACTCCCAGGGTAACATATACATTAAAACTCTTCAGAGCTGAACTCAGTGCAAACAGTTAAACACAGACACAAAATACATATTGCCTGCCAAATGATTTGTATTTCTGTCCATCCAGTGCTGAGATTAACACTTGTCTGTCACACATCACGACCCCATGAATGCAGCTGCTAAACTCATCCACCTAACCAAACGTTCATTATCCCCTCCGCTCTTCCAATGACCCCCTGCTTTCCAGCTCCCTCAACTCCTCCCATGCTCGCCTCCAGGACTTCACTAGGGCCTCTCCCATCCTGTGGAACGCTCTACCCCAACCTGTCCGTCTGTCTCCCACTCTGACTGCCTTTAGGCTATCCCTAAAGACTTATCTCTTCAGGGAAGCCGATCCCACCTCAACCTGACCGCTCAACCATCACGTTCTCAAACAATTCATCCCCACACAGCTATCTCCTCATGTATCACTTCCCCAACCCTTTAGATTGTAAGCCCTCATGTCTTCCTTATATTGTAAAGCGCTGCGCAAACTGTTGGCGCTATATAAATCCTGTATAATAATAATAATAATCTAGCTTGGGGGGAACCTGACCTTTCTTCTCTCTTTCACTTATAGGTCTTGTTCGATCCCAAGCCTTTGACTAGAGGGGTTCTAGCCTTCCCCTACTCTCCTCCTCACCTCACTTCCCTAGTTTTCTTGCGTCCTCCTTCCATGTTTTCTATTTCTTTGTATTTTTGTCTCTGACTTTTTTTATTGGAACTTGCTGAGAATATCAAGTGTGGCGTGCACTGATTTGTAAATGGACTGTAATGGTGGTGAGCTCTAGCGGCCTCTTGCATGTCTTGAATGTCTCCTGCAGCATGCCTTCAGTTTCCAACCACGCCTGTGACATGTCTGCAGCCTTTGACCATGTTCTATGGCAGGGCTAGCCAAACCTTGGCCCTCTGGCTGTTGTGGAACCTCAAGTCCCATAAGGCATTGCAAGACTCTGACAGCCACAGACATGACTTCCACAGGCAGATGCATGATGGGATTCGTGGTTTCATCACAGCTGATGGGACAGGACACTGTTTGGCTGCCCCTGCTCTATAGCATGCCAACAGTCTCTGGCCACCTATTGTAGTATGTCCAGTCTCTGAGTGGTTTCTGTAGCATTACAGACACTTAACATAATGTGTGGCCCTTTAGTGACATCAGGGCCCTCATTTGAGGCCTTTCTTCAGTTAACCACAACTGTTTAGGCTCTTCAACTTCCACTAAGTAGTACAGATAGCATAAGATGACAACCTCACAGCCATGAACCTTCAAGAAGAAATGAGAAATGGCCTCTCCAAATTTATATCCTGACATGTTCCCTTCAAACACCCCAGGGAAACATGAACCCTGTTTTTTACTTGTTGTTGTAAGTTGATTGTTAGTGCGGCCTCTCTGGCCTCCGATCCCCCCTGGAATTGCTTTGTGGATTGGGAAGAGAGAAGTGTTTTATGGTCGAGGTTAAAAGGTGAGCAGGCTGGAAGAGATACAACAGCACTAAATGCAACTTTATCTTATTAGCAGGCTGACTGATTGCTCCACACCGGCCTCATAAATCCCACTAATTGACTTGTTCTCCTTGACTTTTACAAGGCCCCTGGAATTACTGTACAACAGTTGCAACACCAAATTAATTGTTCCTATGGCTTGGGTGACACAGAAGAGTAATTTGTGCCTTTTCTTCCACTAATAGTGAAGGAGGATGAGATAAAAACTCCGGTGCCATCAATCCCACAGGGGAGGAGCAGCAGGCAGTCTGATATCTGTTGTTGGGTACGGATGCTGTGGACACTTAGACCCTGAACTTCTTGGTGTCAGTGTTTGGCTTCAGTTTAGGACCAGCAAGTTAATACGACTATTGATGCCCTTAGATATGGGGACTATTTACTTATATGGGGTTGCTGCAAGAGGTGGACATCTACATTCCTTCTAAAACATAAAGAAACATGGTCACCATGACAGCCAAGTGATAACCATCTTCATATGGAGAACTCAGCATGCGGGTTTCTTTTACGTTTCTCTTGGTTCATCTTCAGGCATATACTTGGACACTTGGGTTGCCCAGATGTTCACAATTGTGTTACAGAATGAAGAGGAATTAGGACCATCCAGATGCTTCCCACATGAGCTTATTACCAAAAGCTTCTCATTGACCTCAGATCCTATATAGTGGATCACTTCCTCCAATTACCAATGGACGCCAAGCAGTGGCGGCAACACATCCAGAAGCACACAGTAACATCCACAGCTTGTAAAATGTATTATTCCAGGAGGAACATCAAGAAGCCCCAGCAGCGTGTGGGGAGCAGTGCTAGGAGAAAATCAGGATTATTTGGTAGAGCGAAAAGCAGAAGAAAGGAGAAAAAAGGAGAAAGGAGAAGGGAAGAAAGAAAAGGTATGGGGAAAGGAGGGGATCATGGGAGGAGGGAGGGAAAGGTAGAGATGCTGATGGTATGGTAACTAGGATCCTGACTAGGAACACGTAATAAGGGGTAGAAAAAGGGCAGCCCCCCTTGGCATATTTATCGAGGTTGGGGTTGGGTTTATAGGAGGGAATTAAAGGAGAACTATGAGGGGGGGTGCTTTTCACTCACCTCATAGTTCTATCCGACCTGTGACAATGAGACTGTCACAGGTCGGCTCAGTAGATCGGGAGGTGAGTGAACACATACCGGCACTCGCTCACATCTCGATCCTGTCACGGCTCTCTGCTGTGACAGGGGAGGGGCTGTATTCCCCCCTCCCCGCTCCAATCCTCCAGCGCTGACAGCAGAACGGACAGGGAAGGGGGCGGGTACAGCTGGCGCTGCCACTAGGAAGGCAGAGCCAGCTGTCACTCACGCAGCTGGGCGGATCCAGGCATAATTGTCGAGATCCGCTTCAGCTGCAGCGTTTCAGTATACCGTGAGGTGTAGGTCGCGGTATACTGAGCTTAGGGTGACGGGAGGACGCTAGTTTGTGTCTTCCCGTTACCCTAAGGAGAACTATGGGGGAAAGCCCTAACCCCGTAGTTCTCCTTTAAGAAAAAGTGTCTGAGACAACTTCTATCTCAACTGGTGCAGTCGCCCGTAGCATCCGATTGGCTTCTAACTTTCATTTTTCCATGGCACATGATTGGCTGCGCTCCAGTTGAGATGAAGTTGGGACAAAAATTGTCTGAGACCCTTTTTTTACTTTCCCCCATAGTGTCTGTTGAAAGCTAGTGGAAGTGATCTATCCACGGGGTCCAGGTGTTCCTAAATTCTGTTCTTCTGCAAGCGTCTCAAATAATGAAAAACTGTCGGCAGGAGAGTATTGGGGTCCTCCGGGTATCCACGATCAATGTCTTGGCCACTGTGGAGATATGTTTGAGTAGTTTAAGTTGGGTTGAGGTCCACCTCTGGGGGTTCATTATTCAGCAGAGCCTTGATGGGTTCCCAATGGACTGTGGAACCCATGAGCGTATATATGGCCTGGTAGACCCTAGACCAGGACTGTTGTATCTTCAGGCAATCCCACCAAATGTGAGCCAAAGTAACTTCTGCTTGACAACCGCTAAAGCAATTAGAGAGATAATTTGGCTCTAGAATTCTTGGACGGAACCAAATACTTTGAGTTCATAATTCATCTCCGAGGACAGGGACATTACAGCTCTCACATCTCCGAGGACAGGGACATGAGAGCTCTCACATCTCCGAGGACAGGGACATTACAGCTCTCACATCTCCGCGGACAGGGACATGAGAGCTCTCACATCTCAGAGGACAGGGACATTAGAGCTCTCAGATCTCCGAGGACAGGGACATTAGAGCGCTCACATCTCCGAGGACAGGGACATTACAGCTCTCAGATCTCCGAGGACAGGGACATTAGAGCTCTCACATCTCCAAGGACAGGGACATTAGAGCTCTCACATCTCCGAGGACAGGGACATGAGAGCTCTCACATCTCCGAGGACAGGGACATTAGAGCTCTCACATCCCTGAGGACAGGGACATTACATCTCCGAGAACAGGGACATTACATCTCCGAGGACAGAGACATTACAGCTCTCCCATCTCCGAGGACAGAGACATTACAGCTCTCCCATCTCCGAGGACAGAGACATTAGAGCTCTCACATCCCTGAGGACAGGGACATTGGAGCTCTCACATCTCCGAGGACAGGGACATTGGAGCTCTCAGAGGTGGAGGTCCAAGTGTTTGTATTGTATTTGGATCCCTATGCACACAGCTCTGTGGTAGGTGGAGATCTGTGGAATGGGTTCTGTCGGAATGATAATTCTCCAATATAAATAAATAATTGTGTGCGGAGGCAGCTGGCACGCTTGGCAGGATTCCTGGCTGTACAAGCAGAGGGTTGGCAGTGGATCGGATGGTGGGTCACCTTCCCACCCTATAGCTCCTAAAGCTGGAGTCTGGATAAACGGCTTAAAGCGGACCTGTCACTCGCTTTCCAAGTCTGCCGGAATGTGAGCACTGAGATGTCAAAATGTTCAACAAGCGTATCATTCTTCAGAAAGTCTCCCGCTGTTGTTATCAACAAGAAAGAGGGACAAAGTATGTAGACAAAGGACACCCGCTGCCAATGGCTGACTATATTTTGGGGGCAGCAGGGTGCTGTACTTAGGTTCCTGAAAACATTATAGCACCCTGCCTCAGCATTATCTCAAGAGTCCACATCCCTGATTTAAGCAGTGGGCTGGGTCTTGGGAGGAGTTATATCAAAATACCTTGATTGGTGGGTGTCAGTCGGGAGGAGTGGGCACTACTGGGCAGGCTGTACATGTGACGCTGAGCCTCCAGGAGTGAATGAACTGAAGTCCGATGATTGAAAGGGGTGGTGCCAGGGACAGTCAGGCTGAGGAGCAAAGTGCTAGGTGATGCTGAACGTCCTCCAGCCAGGAGGACTTGCTGACTTGCTGCAGCTTCTAATGCACATTGTGAGAAGCTTTCTGTGTGCAGAGACATCAGAGGAAGAGGAGAGGAGCCACTACAACTGTGCAAGACTGAAGGGAAGGACGGAGGTCAGATAGAAGACTGAAGGGAAGGACGGAGGTCAGATAGAAGACTGAAGGGAAGGACGGAGGTCAGATAGAAGACTGAAGGGAAGGACGGAGGTCAGATAGAAGACTGAAGGGAAGGACGGAGGTTAGATAGAAGACTGAAGGGAAGGACGGAGCTCGTCTTTGATTTACTGCCGTGTGTGTTTCTTGTGTGGAGATGAAAGAATCCTCGGGCTTTAGCGGGATTACAGGGAGATTTATTAATTCATGATTATTGATCGGCCCATATTATGGAATCTGAGGGGTATTATGGGATATTGACACGGTAAAGCCCCCCACCCCTGCGATGAATGATGCCATGGTGGCAGCGAGGGGATTTCTCTCTATTTGGTCTCATCAGTGGAAATGATGGACATGTATCATTCTTATTCAGCGTCTGGTCCGCGGTGCGCTTTGTTCTGCGCCCCCGCTTGCTCCCCTCGGGGGGCGTTTGTTTAATCCCGGAGTAAAGATTAATGGGCATTCTCGCCGCCACTCCGCAGAGTCTCAGTAACCCTTCAGGGGGGATCTGCGCTCCGACCTTTGAATCTGACAATCCGATGAGCAGTTTTTTTTTTCTTCCATAGAACGTTCTCTAATCCCAAAGTGCTGCGATTATAGAAGCTGACGCCACGAACCGGCTCTCAAGGGGTTATTTCTGTTTTTAAGTGGAATTCCGGCTTCTACAATCTTCTCTGTGAACAAACAATCACTGTGCAAACTACGTCCATGGAAGAACTGAAATCCAACCAATCAAATGGGGTATACAGCAATCACACATGCAGTATACACCTACAATGGGGTGACATCAGAAGGTTCCTTACCTGTATACGCGTAGTGCACGAGGGCTTTAAGGGCATCCGGGTCCACGCCTTCCATTTTGATCTCCTCCTCTTTAGCTTCACGGACATCATTTGTAAACATTGCGGCAAAGTAGTCGGAGACGGCGCTCAGTACCAACCTGGAGAGAGAGAGAGAGCAGCCAGTGTGAGACATTGTTACAACTTCTGACTACATGAGTCTGTGCTGGATTTATTCCCCACACCAACAACTCTACACGCCTGATATAGTGACCCTGTACACCAGCCTTGGCACTCCAGCTGTTGTGGAACTACAAGTCCCATGAGGCATTGCAAGACTCCCAGCAGCAGAGGGATGATAGGATTTGAACGTTTAGCACAGCTGGACTACTGAGGTTGCATGACTCTGCTGTAGATGATGTAGAACCTCCTGATGGCGACTCACCTGTGTGCTGGTATTTTATAATTGCCGGCGATCAGCAAGACGTCGCACAGCTGCTTCTGCTGCAGATAATTCTCCATCTTGCGGAAAGTTTGCTCGGCATGGTTCAAGCTCTGGAAATACTCATCGGAAGAGCCGGTGGTCATTCTACTGGGGGAGGGGCTGGAGACCGGGAGCCTGGCGGGAGAAGAAGAAGAGCAATCATGAGCAACAGACTGATAATAAAACAAGACACAACTTTGTAATATTACAACTTCTGTGTCCATAATCGGCATCAAAGCAAGATAGGTTATTATCCCTCTCTGCATTTTTTTTGTGCACGTTATAATCCACATTTTAGGTCTGAAATTACCTTAAACCCCCGAGTCATATATTTCCTGAAAGTAATGTTTATAAACAATGTTACTTTGTATCTCTCTATCTCCCCTCTGATCAATGTTTATAAACAATGTTACTTTGTATCTCTCTATCTCCCCTCTGATCAATGTATCTCCCTTCTGAGTAACATTTATAAACAAAGATGGTCAAACCCAAAATGTCAGTAAAAAATACACAAGCACACACAAAAATACAATATAAAACCCATTTTTGAAAGCTCAAAAACCGGTAGTGATGAAACCATCATTGCTTCCAGTTTCATTCAGCAGGGAGATCAGCAAACAGATATTCGCTGACCGCTCTCCCCTCTACCCTCCAACAACCACAATGTCAATCACAGCCCCACAGGAGGGGCAGCAGCATCTGGGAAGCAAGGTGTGGGGTTTTGGGCAGGGGCAGTTTTTTTTTGCCATTGGAAGCAATGAGGTAACTTTACAGCCACCAGAATCTCTACCAGTGTAAAGCTGACAGTGTGGGAGTCTGTTTACAGAGGCCTGATGCTGACATATGAGATATATCAGTGGCAGCGAAAGGGTTAATTTGTACCTGCTATTAGAACCAGAAGACATTGTAACATGTTGCCGTGCATTGTGGTGTACTGCATTACCAATAATGGTGCATGTCTGATATTTTGGGTCATGTGATACGTTGCCATCCATCTGAATGAGCCGCCTTAACGCATCGCATGTTACCTCACCACCAAGGTGTGAATGCCCATCCCCCCCCCCTCCCCCCAGGCATTACAGATCCATATTCGGTCCCGATCCGGTAAAATGTCTCATTTGGAGGTAATTATAATAACGGATTTGGTGTTGTCAGCGAGAGCCGTGCTTCTCACAATCTGACTAACACATCGCAGCACATGATTCCCCTCCATTGACCCCTCCGAATAAAATCTGCGGTCGCCGGCTCGCTCGTCACGCAGCTTGTTTATTCTTCTGAATGTCGCCGCGTGCGTTATTCTCCCTAATTGTGCCGATACACCTAGCTCTCCACTTTGTTTTCAAGGCCGTTCGGGGAATGAATCGGCGAGACGTAAACGCTTTCCACCTCATAGGGAAAAAAAACAGTTTGTTCTGTTATAAAAGATGAAGTTTCATCTGCTTGTATGTTGCCTTCCCTAGTTACTCCTCCCCCTCCCATCAACATGACATTTTAAAATAAAACCTTTTTGCTTTCATTCATTTTAAACCCGATGATGTCATCACTTGGTCTCTGTTCTTCTTTATGCAATGCAGCCAGATCATAGCTGGCGGGAGGGGCCGGCAGAGTGCCAGTGGACGGGCTCTTGGGAGGAGTTATGCAAATAGCAAAATGCCTTGATGGGTGGGTGTCAGTCTGGAGGGATGGGCGATCCTGGGAAGGCTGTATTTACGTACTGACCACCCTAGGTAATGCTCACATGTGATGCTCAGCCTCCAGAACTGTGCAAGACTGAAGGGAAGGCCGGAGATACTGAAAATTACACGCGGCATACCGGTACATATATAATAATCCCTCCCCTCCCTCATTTAGGGTTACAGTACGGTTATCATTAGTCCCCATTTCCTGGAGACATTCCCTGTTTTAAGAGGTCTGTCCCCAGGAAACAAGTGTCACTAGCGGCGTCCCAAATGACAGTGAACTGCAGTCATATACAGCCAATTATGTACAAGTTGTAATGGCTGCCTCTAGGACACTGCATCACTTACCACTGACCCCTGACCCCTGCATTACTTACTACTACCCCTGAACCCTGCATCACTTACCCCTGACCCCTGCATTACTTACTACTACCCCGAACCCTGCATTACTTACCACTGACCTCTGCCCCTGCATTACTTACTACTACCCCGAACCCTGCATCACTTACCACTGACCCCTGACCCCGGCATTACTTACTACTACCCCGAACCCTGCATAACTTACTACTGACCACTAACCCCTGCATTACTTACTACTTACTTACAGCCTGCGGGGGACCACAGTGTCTGATGTGTTTTGCTGTGGACTTGAAAGTTGATTGCTACTAGTTGTGTTTGGCAGCACAGGCAGCAGGAAAAGAGTTTTGCTATCACTACATCTGAGAGGATCCAGCTTCGCGCCTCTGGGACACAGTTAGCGTTACAAGGGAGAAAACCAAACACTCACCCTGCTGGGTCTTAGAGTGGAAACGACTGGGTCCAAGTTTGAAAGCGTGATTGCAAGCCCAAGTGCCACTTACCAAAAGCCTTCGATTAAACTCCATTTGGTGAGTAACCACCCAAGAGGGTCTGTCGGGCCACCGCTAAGAAATATATTCCATCAACAATTATTTTTCCTCTGCACACGTTTTCTACGTTTTTTTTCTCACTGAACACTGTATTTCGACGTTTTTATAATAATTTTTTGTGTGGATCGTTCATATATCGTTATATATTGGATGGTTTTTTCACAGTGGTTAAATTCCTTTATTGTTCTAATCACTATTTTGTTTTTCACAGTACAATTGAATTATTAATATATTTTTTCCTTTGTTTTATGATCCCATGTAAGATTTATTTCGAATTGTTCAGTACTGTGTTTTAGGCCAGATTGCTTAAACCCTAATTTCACTTTATTACCTGGTTGCACTAAGTTTCATACCACTTATACCTTTAGCGCTTTGATATATATTTCTTGATCGCTGAAAGGATTCTTCCATCCTCTTTTAGAGCTGCTTTAGGTCTTAATTAACAATACATATTTTCACTTTAGTCTCTTTTCCAGAAGCGCGGATTATCTATTTCACATTACTTACTACTGACCCCTGCATTACTACTAACCCATGAGCCCTGCTTTACTACTGAACCCTGCGTTACTTACTAGAGACCTCTGAACCATGCATTACTTACTACTGACCCCTGAACACTGCATTACTTACTACTGACCCCTGAACCCTGCATTACTTACTACTACCCCAAACCCTGCATTACTTACTACTGACCCCTGCCCCTGCATTACTTACTACTGACCCCTGACCCCTGCATTACTTACTACTGACCCCTGAACCCTGCATTACTACTAACCCATGAGCCCTGCTTTACTACTGAACCCTGCGTTACTTACTACTGGGCTCTAAACCCTGCATTACTCACTACTGACCCCTGAACACCGTCTTACTTGTTACTACTATGCTCTGGACTTGTTACTTGCTACTGTACCCTACTGATGACCCCTGTACTCCATGTGTTACCTACTGATGACCCCTGTACTCCATGTGTTACCTGCTGATGACCCCTGTACTCTGTATGTTCCTTACTCCTGATTCCTGGCCTCTGCTCCATACACTGTTGACCTCGTGTTCTGCGTTACATACTCCTGATCTCTGTGCATTACACATGCTTGGCCCATAGTACATTAGGCTCAGGGTTTGAACCATGAACCATGCATCTTCAGCCGCTCCCACTGTTAGTGTAATTTGACAACACGCATGATTCCCCATGCCGCATTATTTCACTCCTTATAGTGCCCAGAGCACTTCGTCTTTACGTCTTCAATGTCTGCTTCCTCTTCCAGAAGTCTGTGACCAATTGCCTCAGGGCATGCTAAAAAATGGGGCATGATTTTGTTAGTGTGTCTACAAATTGGAGCGTGGTTTATGGGTGTGGTTACAAGTGGGCGTGGTCATTGGGGTGTCCCCAAATTTCATTTTGATAACCTTAGGTTAGAGGCTCTGCAGCAATGACACCCTCTTAGCTTGCACAGCCCAATGATGGGGGGGGATGGGATTTGGGAGATGATACAATGCATGATTTTGGTTGATTCTTTATCATTACAAAGTATCAATATTACACTGACACGGGAAGAACGCATCGTCTCCCTACAAATCACTTCCCTGCTGGAGATTAGATCCAGGATCCCGGCCTATGCGCTCATCCACCACGCCGTTCATTTCCCCGCCGTCGGCGCGGGCGTTAATCTGAATCGACTTTGTTTAGCGCAGTGATAATTCACCGGAATGTTGATTCTTCTCCTGGAAGAGCGGAGGAGTTATTATTGGCCGCCGGCGAGGACATAATTATATGTGAAATGAAAGTCGGCTTCTGAAAATTACCGGGCTGAAATCAATCGTCCCGATCAATCAATTATTAAGC